TTACAACCACTTCGGCTGAAAAACGCGCCGAAACACCTCCCAAAATAACGAAATTTGGGAGGTACCGTTATATAGGGGCTATCGTAAAAAGTGAACCAATATTGAACATTTTTGATAGGAAGATGTGTTACCCAATGGCAAACCAAAATACCAGGTTACAGCCAATTAAAAAACGTGCGCAAACACCTAATAATCGTAAAAATTCAATTTTAAAAAAATGTCGTATTGTGGTATTTAGTTTTCGCTTCAAGAAAATACGAACGTAAAATATGCACAAGGACTCGAAATAGAAGTTGGATATGTGTTAAAAAAATATTAATTATTAGATTCGACTACAGGCATGTGATCTCAAACATAAGCATCAATGGCCGCAAACAAGGTTTTAAGACATTTTATTCATAAACCAGCATATGCCCGCAACTTCGTTACCGAATGTAGAAAATATTTAATAATGTATTAACATATTATTTTATTTTTAGATAAAACTGCATATGTCTGAAAAAACTATCCACACATTAATATCGACCATAAATTAAATTTGAGTATCAAATTTCATGATTCGAGCTCTAAAGGTTCACCCAAATTTAGTACAAAGTAGTACCAATTTCCAAAACATTCTACATATCCCAATCCTACCCCCACACTGATCCTAAATCCATGTTTCAGGATTCCAACTCTATCGGTTCACCAACAATCGTACCAAATTTAGTACACAGTAGTAAGAATTTCTAAAACCTTCTTCTTACCACAAACCTACACCCCCATAGTGATCCTAAATCCAAGTTTCAGGATTCCAACTATATAGTTTCACTCACAATTAAAATTGTACAAAATTTAGTACACAATAGTACCAATTTCCAAAACTTCCTACATACCCCAATCCTACACCTCCACAGTGATCCAAAATTTCATGATTTCAACTCTATCGCTTCACCCACAATTTAAATTGTACCAAATTTAGTACAAAATAGTACGAATTTCCAGAACCTCTTTCTTACCCCAAACCAACACCCCCACAGTGATCCAAAATCCAAGTATCAGGATTCCAACAATATCCGTTCACCAACAAATCAAATTGTACAAAATTTAGTACACAATAGTACCAATTTCCAAAACGTCCTACATACCCCAATCCTACACCTCCACAGTGATCCAAAATCAAAATTTCATGATTTCAACACTATCGCTTCACCCACAATTTAAATTGTACCAAATTTAGTACACATTAGTAAAAAATTTTTAAAACTTCCTATATATCTCAATCTTACACCTCAACAGTGATCCTCACTCCAAATTTCATGATTTTAGCTCTATTGGTTCACCTAAAATTCAAATTGTACCAAATTTAGTACCATTTAGTACCCATAAGTATTATTTTCGTAAACTGAATCCTGACCCCAATCCCACACCCCTACAGTGATCCTGACTCCAAATTTCATTGTTCCAGCTCTATAGGATCACCCAAATCCAAACTGTACCGATTATAGTACGATTTAGTACGTTTCGTACTCATAAGTAGCAAATTTCCAAAACTACGTTCATATCCCAATCCTACACTCAGAGGGTAATTTTAATTTCAAATTCCAGGATTCCAGCTCGATTTGTACCTCCAAATCAAAGTTGTACCAAATATAGTACCATATAGTACTTTTCGTACACATGAGTACACGCTTTCCAAACTCTCCTCATATCGACCCTAATTCTCAACCTTAATTTGCATTCCAAATTTCAAGTTTTTAGTTCAATCCATTCACATGCTACGAAATTGTACCAAATTTAGTACATTTCAGTACTTTTCCGATACTTATAGTTCGAATTTCCAAAAAGTCCTTTGCTACATCTATTCTACACTCCATCAGTGACCCTCAATCCAAATTTCAGATTTCTAGCTCTACTGCTTCGCCAAATACAAATGATACCATTTTTAGTACTTTTTAATACTTTTCGTACCCTTCTAGTACGAATTTCCAAAAACCCAGCCTTATCTGTCACATTTGGGCCAAGAGTGACCCTCACCCAAAATTTCAAGATTCTAGCTTCAGCCGTTTCGTCTGGGCGTTGATGAATCGTTAAATCAGTCAGTCAGTCAATCACTTTACTCTTTTATTAGTATAGATTAAATTTGTACCAAATATAGTACCATATAGTACTTTTCGTACACATGAGTAAGCCCATTCAAAACCATCTCCTTAAATGGACCCTACTTCTTAACCTTAATTCACACTCCAAATTTCAAGTTTTTAACGCTATCCGTTCACATGCTACAGAATTGTACCAAATTTAGTAAATTTTCGTACTTTTCGGATAGTTATAGTTCGAATTTCCAAAAACCCTTTGGTACATCTATCCTACACTCCATCAACGACCACCAAACCAAATTTCAGAGTTCTAGCTCCACAGGTTCGCCAAATACGAATACGGTATCATATTTAGTACTTTTCGTACCGTTCTAGTACGAATTTCCAAAAACCCAACCTTATCGGTCACCTTTGGACCAAGGGTGACCCTCACCCAAAATTTTAAGATTCTAGCTTCAGCCGTCTCGTCTGGGCGGTTTGATGTTAATGGTCCAGCCAAATACCCAATTTTTGTCCGATTGTGATGAAAATCTGTACAAAGTACAAAATTGAGCCTCGAATTGGGTTTATTGGATTTTGTTGAAATCGTTTTCATCCTACTGATACCCAAAGGTTGACGTGTCTCAAGTTTTGTTGAAATCAAATTTAGCTATAGCTGTCATATATATCCTTAGAAGCATCTCTTGCATATACCCAAGGATGTGACTGGTATCCTATAGTCGATCCGACTGACGTTTGTACTTTCCTGGTAGTCGGTTTTGATTTGAATTTGTGAAAGAAGCTTTGAAAACCTAATTAAATTTGAGCTGGAAATTCTGCAGAGAAAATCCAATACACATTTTCAAAATACCAATATGTCCCCCCTCAATTCTGTGCCTTTAAAATCATCTCGATTCTACAACATACGAAACATACGTATCAGGTATTATTCCAAACCCCGCATTGACGTATTATTAAAATTAATTATAATTTATAAAAATAAAAATAAAACAGTGTACAACTCCATTCAATTGATTGACAGGGTACTTCACCCATTATCGGATAATATATTATATGTTGTTTTGTTAACTTCTAATGAACTATAAAAAACAACAACAAAAATAGTAGAGCGTTGTACTCAAATGTAAATCAAATCGTAGGAAGAATTCAAAAAAAATCCCCGTGCCATCATTACAAAATGAATTATTCCGGGAAAACAAAGGAATATTGAACAAAAAAAAACAGAGAAGTTCAAACATCAGCACTTACATACATGATTTGTTTTTACAAATATTTTTCTGCGATCCCAGCAAGTTGTGGATTTAAAAAAAAAATATATATATATATATTGAGACCACATAAAGGCAAGGATTGAAAAATATATTTTTTTACTGAGATCGCAGCAAGATGGAGGTGTAGATATTTTTAAAATCAACTTTTCCACATTCCAACCAAAGGTAAAATGCATTTCTGAGCTCCCAGACATATTTTCAGAGTCGTGGATTTTTTCAAAAATATTTGTTTTGGATCGAAGCAAGGTGTTTAAAAATATGTTTCTATCACCCCAGCAAGAATTGAATTCTTTAAAAATATTTTTCTGAAATCCCAGAATAGTTATAATTTTTCGAATCATTTTTCCGAGATTCCAGCATTATTTTTATATATTTTTTAGTAATAAAAATATTTGTCTGCGATCCCAGCAAGGCAAAACTCCTATAAAAATATATATTTCTGATATGCCAGTAAGGCGTGGATTTTAAAATATATATTTTTATATTTAAAAATCCACGAGGCGAGAATATATTTAAAAAATATTCTTCAGAGATCCCAGCAAGGTGAAAATATTTTTTTAGAATATTTTTCTGTGATCCCAGCAAAAGCGTGGATTATTTTAAATAATTTTCTGAGATCCCAGCAAGGCGAGAATATAAAAAAAAAAATCTTATATATCCCATTATTTAGTTTTTCTTATATCCCAGCAACAAGAAATATAATTTTTTAATATTTTTCGGTGATCCTAGCATTAAGATAATATTTTTCTGAAATCTCAGCAAATTGAGAATATTAAAAAAAATCTGAAATCCAAGCAAGGCGTGGGTAGATCCCAGCAATCCGAGGGTTTTTAATATTTCTCTGAGATCCCAGCAAGGCATGGATTTGTTTCAATATTTTTGTGTAGTTTTTTTAATATTCTGAGATCCTAGTATGTTGTAGGTTTATTATTATTTTTTCTGAGATCCCAGGCGTGGATTTTAAAATATATATTTTTATATTTAAAAATCCACGAAGCGAGAATATATTTAAAAAAATTCTTCTGAGATCCTAGCAAGGTGAGAATATTTTTTAGAATATTTTTCTGTGATCCCAGCAAAGGCGTGGATTATTTTAAATAATTTTCTGAGATCCCAGGCGTGGATTTTAAAATATATATTTTTATATTTATATATCCACGAGGCGAGAATATATTTAAAAAATATTATTATGAGATCCTAGCAAGGTGAGAATATTTTTTAGAATATTTTTCTGTGATCCCAGCAAAGGCGTGGAATATAAAAAATGGCGTTTTCTTATATCCTAGCAACGAGAAATATATTTGTTTAATATTTTTCTGTGATCCTAGCATAAAGATAATATTTTTCTGAAATCTCAGCAAATTGAAAATATTTTAAAAATCTGAAATCCAAGCAAGGCGTGGGTTTTTTCAATATTTTTCTTTGATCCCAGCAATGCGAGGGTTTTTAATACTTCTCTGAGATCCCGGCAAGGCATGGATTTGTTTCAATATTTTTGTGTAATTTTTTTTAATATTCTGAGATCCTAGTAAGTTGTGGGTTTATTATTATTCTATTAAAATTTATTTAAAAAGTGTATTTTTAAAATCTAATGAGTTGCCTTATCGAAGTGTTGATTTTACACCCAAAGTGTCCCATTATTATAAGTGACCTATTCTGCACTTACCTGCATTATGGGATACGTATGCCGTCCTTTCCCCAGACGTTCAATTATCACCATTTTCTCGGTATCGGCGATGACAGCTGCAATATTAGATGAGGCCAAAATTGGCCGAGCCGGAGCTTCGATGGGTACGAAATTCTTGTTGCGTTCGGCAAAGTGACGATCAAACGAATTGCGACGATCACTTTGTGAACGATGATAGTGATGGCGATTATTGTTGTGATTGTTGGACGACGACGAAGAGGAGCCCCCTGATCGTTGTGTTAGATCACCATTTGAGGAATAACGCGATGAATTGACATATGATTTGGATTTGCGATATTGTTTGGGATTCAAGTGATGCCCTAAGTTGTTGCAATTATTTTGGTCCATGTATTCGTTGCCGTTGCTCACAGCCAATGCTGTGGGTTTTTGACATTTGGCACAGGATTTGGTTAGGGCTGCAGTTAAGAGATCGGCAGGGCTAGGCTGTTTTGATTTGTCTTTTTGCACTTCGCCTGCTCCTCCTCCGGATTTTTGTACATTGGGATTTTGATTTTCATTTGTGACATTCTTTTGGGAATTTTTCGAATTCCTGCGGGGCAGCGGCAGATTATCATTGAAGGCGGCCAAGGGTTGAGGTTTGTTGTAGGTCTTTTTGGAGTTGCCACCCACGGTTTGGGCATAACTGTGTGAGGAGTTACGATACGATGTGGATTTGACATATTTCCCCGCCTTGCCACCGGGATTGGTATTTTCCGAATTACTCTGCTGCTGTTGTTGTTTGTTTTTGTTGGACTTCTGTCCCGAATTTTTAGAATTTTGATTAGATTTATTTTGTGATTTATTGTTGTTATTGTTATTGGTGGTGCTGCTGACATTATTATTACTGTTGTTATTGTTGTTGTTGTTATTGACACTGTTGCGACCTTTGTTATTGTTAGAGTTGTTGCCGTTTTTATTGTTGTTGTTGCTTTGATTCTTCTGTTGCTGCTGCTGTTGTTGATTTTTGGCCTGTTTGGGGGTCTGTGTAACTGATTGGGATGTTGGTGTTGTTGTTGCTGCTGCTACAGGTGTGGTCACTGTTTGTTGTTGCTGTTGTCCATTCTGTGTTTTTTGTCCCAATTGTTTTGACGTTGTGGAATTTCCATTGGTTTCAATTTGTGTCGATTTCTGTGCCTGATTTGTGTTTTCATTTGACGCCGATTTTGCTGCAACATTTTCAGTTTGTTGCTGTGGATGTTGCTTCAGCTTCATTTTCGGCGGTTTATTACCACTACTACTACTATTCACCATAATTCTTGAGTTTTATTTTCCGCGTAACAGGAAAATAACTGAATTTTGTTTAAATATTTTTTTTCTCGATTGCAAATTGGTGATGATTTATTTTGGCGATTGGTTTGCTTTTTTCAAATTTTTGACGATGCAACTGTTGGAAGATCGAAGAAAACAGATGACAGGTACCAGCAGGAGGAAGTAACATGAAAAGAAATTAATTAAAAAAAAACTATTATATATCATATTTATAATTTTCCACAATTATTTTGTTATCTTATCAAATTACTTTCCTGAAGTTATATATCAAAGACAAAAGGGGAGAAAAAATACACAACTTCTCAATTATTTGTTTAGATGTATTTTATTAATAGAAATTGAATCATTTGAATCGAAAAATGAAATAAAAAATAGACTAAAAGTTTATTAATGTGAAAAATAAAAAAATAGCGAAAGTCAATTTTGAAAATTAATTCATATAAGAATATGTATTAAAAATTATTTCGCAGAGCTACAATATAATTTCTAATACCCAGCAGAGCATCGATATATTTAAAATAATGTTGTATAAACCCAGAAACCCATAGGTTATTTTACAAATATTTTCCTGAGATCCCACGAAGGCGTGGATATTTTTAAATATGATATTTTGAGCTCCCAGCAAGCACTGAATATTTTCCGGGGATCGAAACAAAGCGTATATATGTTTTCAAAAAACAAAATAGTTTTTTCTGAGATCCCAGTAAAATGTGAATATTTTCGGAAATTGCAAGAAACAAACATTTTCTCTGAGCTCCCAACAATGGCTGAATATTTTCTGAGTCCCTACCAAGACGTAATATTTTCCACAGAAAAGCTTGGATTTTTTCTGAGATCCCAGCAGGACGGAATTTAAAAAAAAATACTTTTCTGAGACAACAGAAAGTATTTCCACAGGCGTGGATATTTAAAAACATAACAACGTTCTCTGAGTTTCCATCAAGACGCGTTTCCAATAATGCGTAGTTATTTTTAATATAATATTTTCCTGACGAGTGAATATTTTTCTGAGATCCCAGGAAGACGTGCATATTTTAAAAGAAACACATTTCTGAACTCCCTGCAAGGGATGACTATTTTCGGAGATTACAACAATTGAAATGATGATTTTTCTGAGATCCTCCAGCAAGGTGAGGCGTGAATTTTTATTATTTTTCTGAGATCCCAGCAAGGAGTAGATTTTGTTAATTATTTTTCTGAGATCCCAGCAAGGCGTCATTATTTTTAATGTCTTTCAAAAATATTATTTTAAGGTCCCGCCAAGGAGTGGATATTTATAAAATAAGTTCTTGAGATCCCAGCAAAAATGTAATATTTTTTCTGATATCCCAACAAGAATATGTGAATATTTTTCAGAAATTCCAGAAAGGCGTAGATAGTTTAAAAATATATTTCTTAGATCCCAGCAAGGCGAAGATAGTTCAATTTGTTTCCCAGCAAGACGTAGATATTTTTAAAAGAATTTTTTCCGAGATCACAGTAAGGCGTAATTTTTTCAATATTTTTCTGAGATCCCATAGTAGTTCCAATATTTTAAAAAATATTATTTTGGATATTAATTAAAAAAATACCTTTCTGCGATGCCTGCAAGAATTTATTATTTTTCTAACATAACAAAAAAGAAGTGAAAAAGTTCGGCCGGTCCGAACTTTGGATACACTCCACCACAGGTATACTGACAGATACTTGAAATGAAAAAGTGGACCGATATTTATAATTTTTAATAGAGATATTTGGAACCCAATAACAACCCAAAGTACCAATTTTCAGCGAATTCAGTTAAAAGGCGCGCTCAAGAACCCCAAAATACCGAAAATTGGGGGTACCCTTATATGGGGGATATCCGAAAAAATTGACCTATATTTATAATTTTTGTGGAGAGGTATGGTACCTACTAAGAACTCAAAATACTAAATTACAGAAAATTCGGTGTAAAAATACGATAAAATCCCCCAAAATACTGGAAATTAGGAGGTACCGTTATATGGGGGCTACAAGAAAAAATGGACCTATATTTATAATTTTTTTTGGATACATTTACTACCCAATAAGAACCCAATGTACCAAATTTCAGCGTATTCGGATGAACTTGACCTGCCTGCAAACAAAAGACAAACCTATGCAAAATTTCAGCACCCTATCTCAATTCCTTCAAAAGATAGCGTGATTACAACAGACGGACGGACGGACGGACAAGGCTAGATCGTCTTAGAATTTTACCCTGATCAAGAATATATATACTTTATAGGGTCGGAAATGAATATTTCGATGAGTTACAAACGGAATGACAAAATTAATATACCCTCCGTACTATGGTGGATGGTATAAAAATGGGCTCCCAGGAAGACGTGTATATTTTTTTGGGATCTAAGAAAGGCGTGGATGATTTAAAAATATGTATTCTGAGATCCCAGCAAGGCAAAGATAGTTCTATTTTTTCGTACATCATAGTATCTGGTGATGAAATATCTGGTATCTCAGATCACGACTGTGCACGGCGTGTAACAACTCTAGTATTAAACAAATACATATTATTTTACGATCCCACCAAGAGAGCTCCCAGAAAGAATTTAATATTTTTCTGAAACCCCCACAATATTGAAAAATATGTTTCAGAGATCCTGGCAAGGCGTAGATGGTCTATAAATATATTTCTGAGATCCCAACAAGGTGTGGAATTATTTAAATATTTTTCTAAGATCCTAGCAAAGCGTGGAATTTTTTTACATGTTTCTGGGAATCTACAAATTTTGACATTGTTAAAATCCGATGAAAAAAAATATTTTTCTGAGATCCCAGAAAGGAGGTCATTTTATGTAAATGTATAAAGGTAAATCGAAAACATTTTTTTATATTCTTGCAGGTTCTGGAACATTGATCAAAGCTTTCTAAATTTGCTCCCTACATATGTTATCCTAGTCGACCATTAATATATTTTTAAAAATTTGCTGCGGATATTTCACAATTAAATTATATCGCTGAAAAGGCATTTATGAAGTTATTAACACTTTGACACGATCAAAAATGTGAATAATTCTTATATCGGTCTCAGGCCCAAAGTTCGCTAGGATCAAATTCGTTTCAGATTATAGATGCGATAATAGAATACCAATTTATCTTCTAATTATAGAGAATATCAAAAATGTTTTCTTTATTAATTGCAACGCAATTTATAAATCCCCCTCCACCCATCTGGCAACTCTTCCTCAATTAAAAAAAAAAACAACAAAAACTATGTCATCTACACACAACATTAAATATTTATTATTATCATTTCGTCTTTTTGTGTACTGTTTTTCTTTTTTTTTAAATTTCTAATCACCCACCAACGCAATATTTTGTTTAGACAAATGTTTTCGAACCAGAAACCAAAACAAAAAATTGAAAGAAGATGGCAAATTAAAAAAAACGTGAAAAAGAAAAAACAATAAACGTAACAATGTGCTCAAATACGAAAGAAAATGAAAACAACATCAGTTCTAAAGCAGGGAGGAAATTATCTGCTTTGCTGTTGTTATTGTTGGCACAAGGTATGTTGTTATTTTTTTATCGGAATAATTTAATCAACAACAAGTGAAGCCCGGGGTACATTCTGAAGACAACATTTCCAAAAAAATGTTATTATTTAATAATCAGAATCGGAAGAAATGCAGAAAGAAAACAAAAAAAAATGAACTTGAAAAATGTGCACCTAAAATAGGAGGTGTTGTCAATTTCAAATACGATTCTTCAAAAAAAATTTTTTTGTTAGTAATTTCCTTAAAAAATCGGAACGGAATATGGTATTCAAAGAAAAATTCCACAGATAAATGATGAGATGGTTTTTTTCTGCATGCCGTTAATAATGAAAAACAAGATCAGTCAAAAGTCAAGGCCTTTTATGTAATTTTTCATAACCAAATCCAAAACGATCTGCCCTATGTCCTCGATAACCCCCACTAGGCTATTGACGCAGCTAATTCTGACCATAAGCATGTAAAAATATCGTTAGGTATACCCCGCACCTACATGGTCTTATATTGAAAATTTTCTTCAGTATTCCGATAAGTTAAATTATAGGCGCGTCAATGCAGAAATTCGGAATACGAGAATGGTTCGGAACATATTTAGGTTCCGAACCATTCTCAAAACTTGAAAACATATCAAAAATTGTTTGAAAATATTTTTTTGATACCTAATGAAAACCTGAAAAATCGTATCATATTCAATTTTATTGAAAAAGTTGGCCAAACCGCCAAAATAATGAGGGTTACCAATATATGGGGGCTACCCAGAAACTTTGGCAAATATTGATAATTTTGAAAGAGGATTACAGCCCCTTTGGTTGGAACACGTGCCCAATCTCGCCAAAATACTGTGGAATGTAGTGTAATATGGGGACTAACCTAATAAGACCAGGACCAACATTCACGGTTTTTTGTAGGAAAAACAAAATACAAAATTTTCCGTGGTGATATCTCCGGAACTGTTTAACATCTACCTCTCTGGAATTTCACGCCCACAGGATGGCATAAAGATCCTAACATATGCAGATGATTGCACGATTATGACGTCAGGATGATGATGGCATTTGCGAGAGGCTGAACCACTATCTCGTGGATGTCGCAGACTTTTTCCGGTCGAGGAATATGGCAATATCCGCCACTAAGTCAACAGCCACACTGTTTACCACATGGACAGCGGAGAGTGTGCAGGTCGAGGGGTCCACAATTCCGACCACCAATTACCCCAAGGTCGTAGGGGTCACATTCGATAGTCTTTACAAGTTACCCGCGCAAGTTATGTATTTGCGATGAAGTCAGGAGCAGAAACAAGGTTCTCAAGTCGCTAGTCGGCAGCACTGGGGGAGCTGACAAAGAAACGTTGTTAACGACATACACAGCAATAGACCAGTGAGCTCCGCTAACGTTATTGCAACGCACTCTTCAATCCTGCCAGAATGACGCCCTGAGGACTGCAACAGGGTGTCCCCTCATGACTCC